TATCTTTACATCGATCACAGACAGGTAAAGTCTGCCCGAAACCGGATTTTGCAGCCGAATTATGAACCGAAATGAAATTTTACACTATTTTCGGTTACGTTAAACTTATATAAAAAATAATAATGATGACAAAAATCAATAAATGTATTACGTCAAATTTCATTTCCACAATCTATATCTGTAAAATTTGAATAAAGACTCTGTTTTACCTTTTCACCAATGGTTTCTTATTCACCCCTATCTAATGTATAGTAGTATCGACAGAGTTCATTAACATGACTAGATCTGGGGCTTCTTTTGTGTACATTCGAGTGCAAACTGAAGTACTGACTGACGCACCGACTTCTGATCTTGATAGACGATATTTAATTCCCTGGAGCAAGCATCAAAATATTAATTGCTGCTCCGGGGCCGATTCATCCTTCATTGTAATGAGTACAGTACAGTACACCTATCCCTCTTTTTACACGTTTCATTTTACGCGATTGATTTTTTTGCACGAAAAAACAGTTTATTTGTAAATTTTTAAATTTAACTTTTTGTTAAAATTGTTGAAATCAATAGTTAATTTTCCTTCTTAAACACAGTACAATACTATATGTACATCAGAGAATATCGTATGTTTCCTGTGCTATCTTGTGTTTACTATATTTACATACAAATAATACTAATGATAAATGATGTTAGAGTAAAAAAGCTCGTGTTTCTTTTGTAAATTCCACTGAAGTTGTGCATCCTATCGAGCATTTTTCTATGGGATGCGTGTACAGTACATTTTACGCGATCTTTGTATACACGACGTTGTTTGAAACGTATTCACCGTGCAAAACGAAGCATAAAAACAACTGGAAGGCGACACGACAGCCGGAAAAATTTCCAGTTTTTATACCTGATGCCGATACTAGCGAGTATTGATAGATTAAGACCTTTACCAATACCGATATTTTTGTGGTATCAGGACATCTCTACCTATATCAAATGGTACAACTCTGCCCATGTCAAAGAATACACACCACTAATTTAGCTGAAAAATTACATTCTTCAACTATAATAGATGATGCCAATGTTTTTGTTGCGTCTAAAACATTAGAAAACACATTATTTAGGACTGGATGTTTAGCATAGAACATTTTTAGCATTTTCTATGTTATTTAATATTATTTAGTATATCACGTTTATATTGCTTTCAAACAAAAATTATATCCAGACTATATTATGAAAATTATGGTTAGCTTTTTTTAATTTCCATACTTTGATGGAGGTTACTATGAATGGGTCTAATTTATATTACGTAAAGAATACACTGAACGTACTGTTTGCTTCTTACATTCTGATTTGATATCATTGCCTAACACGTTTTTGCAAAGTAAATCATCAGAACATATGTACTGTATAGTTGATATAGTCTTTGCTATAATTATAAGTAAAATCAAGACTATTATACAATTAATACTAATTTTAAACAGTGACATAGGAAGAAAAGCAAAGAATGTATCACTTAATCATGAATTACAAAGCATAATTTCTGTAAGATGCTAAATATTCTTAATATCAATGTTTAAACATTTATATACTATTTATTATTTAAAGTTAAAATATTTAAATATATTATAAATGTTAAAAATAGAAGAAAAATTAATAAATTTTATTTAAAATTCGGAGATAATTTTCTTGTTTTAATCTGTTTACGATAAAACCGCAAATAAAGCTTACATAACACAACTACATGTAAAAAAAAAAATTTAATTTTCTAAATGATTAATGACGAAAGGCTATTCACTTTTGAGCAATTAATATGTAAAGATTACCGAGAAAAATTTTCAAATTTTCAAAATTGATAACCTCGTTGATAAATCATAGCTTAAACACTTATCACGTAGTGTAGTAATGATCAAATAGTACATTTTTTTAAATTAAAAACATTATAAATTTTAGAAATATTATACCTTTATAACTTTATCAATTAATAAGAAATTATACACGTTGAGACTTCAATTCAACTATGAGTTATTACAAATGATTTATCATCTCAAGAAGCTAAATTACAAATTAAAATATGGTTTATTTAAATATATAATATCGTTCAATATTTATTTATACAATGAAATATTTAAAAATTTACTTCTTATAGTATTAAAATAAATATTTAATAACAAATTAATATATTAGAATTTCGTTTTATAACCCTTCATTTAGATCTAAGTTAATAAAACACATACAGCAGCCTATTGTCATACGTGATAAAACTGTCATGTTTCTTACCTTCAATAAAAGATCGTATCTTCAAAACGATCTCTATTGGGTACAATTTATCAATGATAGAACCCAGAAAGATTCGTATCAGTGTGTACACTTATTCCTTTTGTCTGAAGTTTTTATGTCGAACACAGAAACGATTTTAAAATTTCCTACGTAATTTATGAGATAACATTACGTTTCATTAGGTGCACTTATTTAAATTAAACTGTTTTTTTTTTACTTTTTCTTTTTGTACTAAAAATCTGGCCAATCTTAAAATTTGTTGAATGGAAATTTTATATTATTCCTCACGTTCTCGACTACACAGTCTATTTAAGAATAATTTTAATAAAACGTTTAATAGATATAGTAAATAGTAAATTTAACTCGTAATAAAATTCATAAATATCTATAAATATAAGCATTATTATTTATCAACAATACATCTAAAGTTGGCAATTATAAATGAATTTAAAATTTCTTTTATTTATTTATAATTCTTTTAGAATTTATTTATTTAGATTTCATATATTTCAAATACAACACCTAATATAAATGCCATATTTAATTATCGTAATTAAAACTTTTGAAAGTAATTATAAAGTAAATCAAGTTTTAAATTTTTAATGTATACAAACATGAAAACATCTAATTTATAAGAATAATTATAATTTAAATAGTTTTAAATATTTCTAATTGTTAATGAAGAATATTAAAGAATAGTTTATTAATTTATCATTTTTAAACGACAAAATTTAATTTACATTAATGTTATTGTTCTTAATAAATCGAAAAAAATAACGTTAAAAATTATATATTATTATAATAGAATATAAGTACAAGTCGACCCCCCTATAACACTGTTGATTATTCCGTTTTATATGAATTCCATGTTGTACGAGTCACTTAGATTTTACAAATACGTGTGCCGGGCTGTGAACGGCACATGTATTTGTAAAATCTAAGTGACTCGTACAACATGGAATTCATATAAAACGGAATTATCAACAGTGTTGTAGGGGGTAGACTATAATGCTAATTATATATTTAATTTTGATAAACTTATTAAAATTATTCTATGAAATTTGAGTGTTATTTAATAAATATAGTCATTTCAAAAAGTACATTTCTTTCATTCATTTGCTCAGCAGTCAGTTAATATAAACTGATTATTTCAAATTCTTTATCGTTAAATATAGAATAAAATATTGCAGTTTTGTCGTAATTCAAATAACAATATAATCTAATGATAGCAAATTATAACGTGCACCGTATAAAAATTATTATTGACTATATAATTCAAAGTGTGATAGATAAATATAAACTAAATTATCATTAGGAACAATAGAAGAGAGCAATTTTCATTACAGTTATTTAGAAAATAAATATAAACTTATTTTAAGTTTGTAATTACGCTATATTACCATGAAATTTTCTCATAATTAACTCAATAATGTTTCGTTTAATATAAAGAAGACATAATATATATTTCAAAGAATTTATTAGAGTTTTCTTCTCATTAATTCATTTAATTTAGATTATATATTTTCATCGTAATATTTAATTGCATAGTTAAACGTGATTATAACAATACAATTTGGCATGGAGAATTAGAATTTTTAAAATATATTAATTACATTAAAACTTATATTAAATCAAACAGTTTTAAAATCTTTAAAGTTATTAATAAATTTACTATATATATATATATTTAGTTTTAATTCACTTAAAATTGTATTAGAGTTGAACGTAATGTGACTTTGTCTTCAAGAATTTCTACCATGTGATGACTTTAAATCTTTATATTAATTAATATATACTTTATTATAGATAAATTAATTAAATTAAAATATTTTTGAATATTAAATTAGAATACATTCTTATTATTGGAAGGTAATTTTGGAGGAAAACTAACGGTCTTGCATGCTTGTACAAACACATGTTTGGCTACTGGCAATTAAATCAACACGCTTACCACTACAGTTCACCTATCTCAATATTATAATTATATTCTCAAAATTACGCCATAAAATTATTTGCATATTAATTTACTTTTTACAGTGTAATTTATTAATCATAATCATTAAAAAATTAAAGAAGGTATTATAATTAATAAGTTTTGAAATTTTAACACCCTTTAATAAAACTCAATATTATGATTTTTAATACGTTAAAAGTATTATTTCCGATTTATAAATAATTTTACTTTATATTATTATTTTTTTAAAAAATAATATTGCTTATAAATCTTTTTGTCTCTGAGATTTAGGCAACAACACATAAAATTCGATTAGTATTTAAAGTTTCTGTGTATATTCAACATAAACTTTTATCGCTTAATTAATTAATTAAAAGTATATAAAATTTTAAATCCAATTTTATTTAAATTACACATAAAAACACTATATAATTCAATAATTTTTAAATTTAGATTCTGTGAATGACAGAAGAAAAAAGTCAAAGAAATGAAGATTAGTTATTAAGTAAATATTTATTTATTATATGAAAGTTTTAAATTTAATGAAGATTAAAAAAAAATTCTTTTTTCTAGCGCAAATAATTATTTATAGCAAACTAAAAAAAGCCATTTAAAGAAAAAAATAAATTAATTAATTACGTAACAAAAATTTCATAAAGTTTATATAAATATACTATTAAAGTTAATATAAATCTGAAAAAAAATTATAAAATATTTTCTGTCTCAATATTTATTTATTTTTTTTTTAACAAATTAATTCACGTTAGAAGATTTAGAAAGGTACCTTTTATGCAACTTACTAATGCTCCTACCAGAAAAAGAAAAATAATAATAATAAAAACTTTATTGTAAAGTTTAATAGAAAAACTAAACAAACTTACCTTCATATCTAACAATACCACGAATCCACTTATTTAATATAAGAATTGTCCATACAGTAATAACAACGCGTACAAACGAGTATCTGACAGATACCATAGCGTCATACCATTGGATAACTAGTACAATACGTCTTGCCTTCTCGTCTTCAAACCCTATACTGAGAACTCAGACATACACATCAAAGCAATGGAAGATATTCGTACATGCGCACTCACATCTTCTACAACTTTATCGATCAAGTACAACAACTTGAAAATATTTTTGTTAACAGAGTTACATGTACAGTACCTGTAAGAACTACGTATGGGGAAAAAACACAAGACTCTCTCGAAACATCTTCCAAATCAAATTTATACTAAAATTATAAACTAAGAATTAATAATAATTGTCTTCTATGTGATCGGCTGTGTTTCGTGTAGCGTGTTAATAAATAATAAAATTTTTAAATAGTTTAAATATAAGTTTATATACTTGAGTAATAAAAAAAATTTTTTTAATTTAAAATAAAACATTTCAAAGCTCTCAGAGCTGCTTGGAGTAATTAAATTATAAAGTCTTAATAATAAATAATGTCCAAGTAGACAATATAGACACAGAAATGTAAAACAGTAAGGATATAGAAGTAGATAGAATTAATATATCGTATCCATATGATTCGAAAATACCGTCGAGTTACACGAGTATTATATAACATACTTGTCACACTGAGATAATAAACTAAATACACTTCACATGAGTATCATATAACATATTTATCAAACTGAGGTAGTAAATTACGACATACTTCCTAAATGATTTATCTAGATTAGTGTTTCTCGTCCTGTATTTAAAAATTGCTTCCTTAAAATACTTTTATTAGTAAATATTTATTCTGATAACTCTCCAATAAAATTTAAGAGAATAACATATTTACTATTATTTTTCTCGATATTTAAAATTACTTATTTCTTATATATATGTTTATCATTTTTCTCCTGTTACTGTTACTTATATTTCTGGCTTGTTTGATTTCAGATATCTTTCCTGCACTTAAAACTAATTTATGTTCCTGAGTAACTTGTTTTTTGCTTCCTGAAGACGAAATTACTCCCTTTTAGAAACGTTGATTTAGATCAAGGGTTTCAAATGTGTTTTTGTTTTCTAAACTCGTTAAACATTTTTATATTGATACAAAATAGGAATATAATATTAAGTATAGTGAGATAAAAATGAAATTAAATTAATAACACATTTAATTATATATACTGTACAGTAAAGCCTCTCTAAGTCGAACTACATTAACACGAAGCTGTCTACAGTTCCTGGGAACAATATATAGGATTTTCACTATAACACAGTCTCGTTAAGTCAAAGTTACGGGTACACTGAACCTATTTTCCCGTGTACCTTCCGCCCTTTGATAGGACCATTTTATCTCATATTCAATGTGAATACAAACGATTAAAATAAACAAACAACACTACGGCTTCATGCCAAAAACATGCCATTATAACCTCACGTCGACATCCTTTTTACTAGTATATTACCGGCTTTCTGATTGAGACACAAGTGGCCCTTAACAACGCACTGAAAAGCGCCGCAAACTGTATACAATTTTTTAACCATTCTGTGAATAGATCTTTGAGAAAGGGATCGAAAACAGGAAATTTACAACCATAGAAAATTTTGAGAAAAACAGATATTAAACTCGTTAACTCGAAGTCTAGAGTTTTTTTTAATCCCTTAAATTTCGATATAATGAAATTTTACTATATTATTATGGCTATTGTTTTATTTTTATATATTTTCCAAACTACCGCTAATAATTTCATGGTGCCCAAATAAATCCGTTGAACTCCTGTAGAGTCGTTAGTGACCAGAATTTTTGTTTGTTCTTTTTGCCTCATGGACACTAAGAGAGTTTTTTAATCATATTCATCATGGGTTATGCCAGGTCAAATAATGGGCAGCCAGGTAGTGAGAGACAAATTCTTGAGATTTCTCGCTTGGATTCGATCCTGGATCATCCAGAGTGGTAACTTTGACTGGCAATAAATAGAGATCAGGTTGAGAAATCTTGAGATAGATAATATAAAGTATTTCCATAAGAGAATAATTTGCAGAATTTATTCAAACAATAATTTTAAATTCAATTTATAAAATAATTAAAGTAATTCTCTTTCCAAGATAAAGCCAAATACGACATGTTCAGAATAACTAAATTTATTCACATTAATTGCAATTATTTTATGTTATTCACTTTAAATTTTTGAATATATTTAGTTAAAAATCATTCAAATTTAACTTTAAGAAAGAGTTAATTTCAACTGAAACTTCGATTGGATACGTACACATCTTGTACAGTATCTAAACAACATTTAACATCAGAGTAATCAAACGATAAACATCGAATAAATTTGATAGAAATCAATTTACTTACAAGTAATTGAAAGATCAAATATAAAAGAAATAGGAAGCGAGTTATTCACGTAATCAATTAAAAGACAAGATCATTAATTTGATAACTTTACCGTAAAATAGTAATTTCTAGAGGAATTCTAATTGTTATTATTAAATTATTAAATTTAATGATCATATCAACTTATTGTATGTAATTTTAAAATCAATTTCTATTAGTGTATTTGGATTAAGGAAATATAATATTAAGGTAGGTGAAGAAGAAATGGAAAATGGCAGAAAATATCTAATTATTTTTTAATATATAAAATAATTGATATTTTCTTATTACAAATAACGTGTTGTAATATCAACGTGTGGACAAAGAATAGGAGAACAAAGATAAATAAGTCTTCCAAATCAAATTTGTAACTAAGGTAGAAGGCTAATGACAATACATTTTAATGATGTTTCAAGGCGATGGTTCCTTTCCACCATCCTACTCATCCAAAACTTGATTAAAATCTACGTTAGGTTATGTTTATCATGATGTATATGTGTAAATGCACTGTAGTGATGTATATGATGGTAGTCGGGTCACGTCTACCATCCCCCACCCTACTCTTCATATATGTTTTAATAATGTATAAATAATATATTATTAAAGTATATGCTTATTTTTTTAACAAACTTTTTAAAAGTTCATTTNTCTAAGTGTCTCGTACAACGTGGAATTCATATAAAACGGAATTATCAACAGTGTTATAGGGGAGGTCAACTGTATTGTATTATTTTAAACAAACAATTATATCAATGTAAGTACTAGAAAAAACAATTTTCCTTTCATGAAGCCATTTTATAAAAGTAAATGCTACTTTAGCTTGGAATTAATGATGTAAATTATATAAATTAATTCAGAATTCGATATATCCAGTATAGATTGCGTAAAATTTCTTAAATAGTCACAAAAATAATTTCTATTTTATTGTTTTCTTCTTTTTTTTTAAAAAAAAAGTAAATGTGGGCAAATCAAATATATATTTCATTCAATTCGGTTATATTTTATATGACTTAGATAACCTTATATAACTTTAGGTAACTTTATCCATCTTTACTACGTATTACTGTTCTTGAAAAACAATAAAATCGATGTTCGTACTGCTGAAAATTGATGTTCCCCCCAATATCGTTCTCAAAGCATTTTACTGGGGCACGAGTTAATGGATTTATATCTATTTGAAGAACAGTGCATTGTTAGTATTTAAAATAACTAAACATATTTTAAAGAAATTTGATATTGTAAATATAGAAAAATGCATCAATTTTCGTAGACAACAAGATAAAATATCTTGGTGAATGTATCCAAGAACATTTTATTTACGTTTTATACCGAAGATCGTTTGAAAAATCTCGGAATTTTTCTTGTTTTGGAATTATTTCTAAAATATATTATTATATCCAACATAAAAATGATTATTAAATGTGGTTTTTTTAAATATTATTTATTTATATATGCAATAAAATATTAAATAAAAATAATTTATTTACATATAAATTATATTGCAGACACGATTTAATTAATGAGTATCATTTCAGAAGACAATAAATAGCTCACAGAAAAGTTATATTCTGACTTATGTAGTCATTGTCAAGATTGCCTAAAAGTTATCTTGATAATGACTTCTACTCTTTTACCATAACACTTTTTAAACTTCTACGGATTTTAGAAGACGAGTTGAAAGCACCAACACTTCTTATTCTAAACATTCTCGACTAGAAAAAGTCGGAGGATCAAACCGAACTTTCTATATAATTAATGCTATTTATGGTAAGATTAATTGTCTAGCAAGATACTGCCAAGCAATGTTTTAAAGAAAAATAATCTGCTAGGGTGAGGGAAGATATTATTTCATAGTATTAAATTTTGTTCTGTATCATCCCTGCTTATTGTGATAAAAAATTTCTTTTCTATACTTCAACATCTTCGTTTGAATGCTTTTGTGCATTCAAACGAATGCGGTAAGTAGTATATATGTCTTTTCTGGCAATCGAAAGAACTGCTTACTGATGCCCCATAACAGTGTACTACTGAAAGTTTCCATTTGGACGATGTTTATCGATATATTCCTGATCCTTCCAGAAAACTTACTTTTAAAAACAAATATAGACTAAACTTAAAGGTAACAGAATTTCATTGTTTGTAGTTTAGCTGACATAGAACCTATATCTAGAGACATCACGATACTGTCGATATCAATACTTTTCCTCGAGTATCGGATCTGGTATCTTTACATCGATCACAGACAGGTAAAGTCTGCCCGAAACCGGATTTTGCAGCCGAATTATGAACCGAAATGAAATTTTACACTATTTTCGGTTACGTTAAACTTATATAAAAAATAATAATGATGACAAAAATCAATAAATGTATTACGTCAAATTTCATTTCCACAATCTATATCTGTAAAATTTGAATAAAGACTCTGTTTTACCTTTTCACCAATGGTTTCTTATTCACCCCTATCTAATGTATAGTAGTATCGACAGAGTTCATTAACATGACTAGATCTGGGGCTTCTTTTGTGTACATTCGAGTGCAAACTGAAGTACTGACTGACGCACCGACTTCTGATCTTGATAGACGATATTTAATTCCCTGGAGCAAGCATCAAAATATTAATTGCTGCTCCGGGGCCGATTCATCCTTCATTGTAATGAGTACAGTACAGTACACCTATCCCTCTTTTTACACGTTTCATTTTACGCGATTGATTTTTTTGCACGAAAAAACAGTTTATTTGTAAATTTTTAAATTTAACTTTTTGTTAAAATTGT